CTCTCTCTCTCTATCTCCCTCCCTTCCCTCTCTAAAAATAAACAAATAAAATCTTTAAAAAAAAAAAGAATTAGACTCTACTTATCATTTTAAAGCCGTTACCAGAGTTGATTTGAAATGGATATAATTTTTAAAATGTACATTTCCCAACAAAACTGATAATGGCACATTGCATAAAATAGAAATCTTAACAACTTAATTTCTCTTTTACAGGGGAAGAGAGAGAGTTACTTTTAGAATGATTTTCTTTAGCCCCTTTGAAAAGTTCATTTAATGCTTAGAGTGATTCCCTAGTACCTAAAACTGCTACCAATCAATCGACTTCCACCAAAGATATAGTCAGCCACTCCCCGGCATCATCTCCAAAGTGTCCATGTTGTGAGCACTGCAGTGTTACAATAACTCTTTAGAAATATTGTAAACTGGGGGTCAAAGATCAAAGAAATACCCAGTTTGTGATGGGTATAATTCGTTTGTGGTCCATAGCTGCTGGCATTTTCCCAGATTGTTCTGCACACAGACCTAAGTCCTGGGTATACCAGGGTACTGAGGCTTGAGAAAACAGCCTGACTCTCCTTGCCACCTTACACTAAAACAAACAAAAGTCTAACATGACAAAAGTCCAATTAATACTACTAACGCTTACTGATTTATATAAGGGCTAATACTATTCCTTCAAGGGTCCCAGAAAATGACTGATATCCATGAAGTCTTTGGTAAGAAACTAGAAAAGACCTCGGCTGAGGCTCTGGAAGAAAAACGAAGCTTCGAGATGTGAAGGTCTGCTTACCGAGATGGTGCTGAGATAGGATGCAGTTTCCTAGACTGTGGTTTAAGGTTACACACCAAAGAGCTCTTGGCTAAGGACAAAGCGTGTCTCACCAAGAGCAGGAAGAATATATTTGTCTGGAAATTTGCCAATCTGATCAGGAGGAAAGGCCTGAAAACTTCAAGACAGTTTAGTAAAGACCTTTCAAAGCAGGGTGGATAGAAGCATTCAGAGTAACTGAGAAAAGCCAGCCTAAGTTTCTGGGATCACATAAGAAAGAGAAACAGCCTGGTGAACGTACAGGCCATAATAATGATTTTATTTCTTTTCCCGTAAATACACCGTGGATCCATTTTTTAAATTTTAAGCAGGAAATCAATATGACTTTTTTTTTCATTTTAAAAGATTACTCTGGAATGGTATATGAATAGTGTATGATTTGGAGAAAAGCAAAACTGACAGTGAGAGGCCAGCTAGTGGATTATGGTGGCCATCGGGGCGAAAAGGAGCAAGGCTGCCCTCTGCAAAAGGTGGCAGCAGTGGAGCTACGTTTAAGTCAGGTGGAAGAGTGCGGCTTTCTTATATGAGCCGGAGAGTCAATTAACTGAAAGCAGACTATATAATGAATGTATGATTTGTACTTCATAGAATTTAGTATCTCAAAAGGTAAGAAAATATGAAACAAAAACATTACTCTCTATTGATCGGGAAAAAATATTACTCTCAACTTAATTGTTACTAAACAATAAAAAGCAGAGGTGGATATGTTTGGAGTTTTTTGTTTTTGGTTTTTTTTTCTTAATCACACGGGGTTTGATTTAATTAGGGCTAGCAAAAGGAACTCAAAACTTAGTTTGATATTTTTTTAGACCATAGTTTCCCAAAAGTTAATCTTCAGAACTCTAAATCCTTAGAATTTAACAGATGCCCTGTGATCAAACCACTGTGTCAAATAATTTCTTATTTTAATACGTTAAGCAGATTTCTTTATTGCAGGATATCTCACAGACTTAAATATGCTTAAGAATGTCTTTATGATTCTGTAAAGCAGTACTGCCCAATAAAAATGTAACATGAGTTACACCAAAAAAGTATAGAGAAACATGTAAAACTCATTTTAGTATTTTATTTAACCCAATATATCAAAATGTCATTTCATATAGAATCAATATAAAATTACTGAGATGGTTAATTTCCTTCATGCTGTCTTTGAAATCCCATGTGCCTTTCACACTTACAGCACATCTGAACTTGGACTCACCACATTTCAAGACTCAATAGTCACATGTTGCTAATCACTACACATTAGTGCCCTCTAAAGCATCTCCCGACTTTCCCCTTGGAATTTCAGCAAATTTACCTAACCTGCATTTTGAGAAGCCAAGAAAAAAACAGATAAGGTCCCATGATCAGTATCTGTAACGAAAAACAGCTCAAAACAGTTGGGAAAACATCAAAAACAAAATTCTGATACAAACTATGATACTTAAACCTTTGAGAAAGACAGTAAATACAGCTTCTAAATGGCAGACTATGGTACATAGAGAGCTCCTTAGTAGATTTCTGACTCCTAGAAAAGTATATACAAAGTGAGACCGGAATGTTACATAGCTCAGAATACTCACAAAAGAACTACACAAACCTGTCCAAATGGCATCAAGAAAACAAGTTTGCAATGAACAACTTTCAAAAATAAAGTGTGGAGACTTCAAAAATGTTTTATTACCATTATTATTAACTTTTATTACTTCCTGTGTAGCAACACTGCATATGCTAAGCTCTGAATATCACATTTAAAACTTTTCATGATCAAATCATAGACTGGGCATAACATACACTCTGGCTGATGAGATACTAATGCATTGGACATAAAAAATAAGAACTAACTCTAACCAAGTGTATGATATACTGTGCACCGTGCTAAGCACTTCCACACATTGTTTTATGTAACAGTCATAACAATTCACAAGTAGATGCCATTATTATTGCCATTTTCAAACAAGAAAATTGAGAAACAAAGGATTTAGGTAACTTTTTCAAGATATCAAAGCAAACAAGTGAATGGTAGAGCAGGATTTAGACCCAGAACAACAGCTTCAGAGCTCAAGCTTAAGACTATGAATCCTAAACTGGAGATGAACCTCGATCACCCAGGTAGGCCCAATCTAAACACACAGGCCCTTAAAAGTGGAAGAGTAAGACAGACCTGTCAGATGTGATAGGAAAGAAGGCAGGGGTGAGCTGAAGTGGGAGTGCAACTTAACCTTCCTTTGCTGGTTTAGAAGGTGGAGGAAAAGTATCACAAGCTAAGAAATGAGGTACCACCTAAACCTAGGACCAGTTCTCAGCTGACAGCCAGCAAGAAAATGACTACCTTAGTCCTACAACCACAAGGGGCTGAATTCTGCAAATGACCTGAAAGAGGAAAGAACTAGATGTTCCCCTAAAACCTACAGAAAGGAACACAGCCCTTTCAATACCTCGATTTTAGCCTGGTGAGATCTATGTTGGACTTAGGAACTATGACAAAAAAAATGTATTGCTGTTTGAAGCCACTAAGTATGTGTTAATTTGGCATAGCAGCAATATGAAATACAGCGTGTAACTGCCACATAACATAAATGTCCATAGACTGAGTTATCGATTCATGTCTGCTTTGGATGGTCTGTCAAATCCACAACCTAAGAGGAATCTTATGAGTTATTGCTGAAGCCATGTTCTCTTCCAAAGGTTTAAAACACTGACAGATTTCCAGCTTCATTTGAATTTTAAAATAATGCATTAAATCATTCAGAATAGGAATTTTTTCTATTGTCATATAAAAACAGCAAAATCCTAAAAAATTGAATTGCCTATAGTTCACAAATACACCATATTTACTTATACCTCCATAATTTTGCATAGGCTGTCCCCCCTCTCTGTGAGTCTGCCTGCCCACACACCCCAAATGCCTCTAGTCCAACTAGAAAGAAAAGTCCTTATCCTTTTGCAGATCCATGCCGTGCCTTCTCCACCCATGCCATGGAGCTAGTCATTCCTTTTCTGTGCAACCACATTGTTTGAACATGCATCCATTGCCTCATCTATTAATTTGACTTATACTATGTGTTTCCTTGCTTCTACTCTCTGCACATCCTAAGACTGTGCTTTTTCATGTGTACAGCACATAGTAGGGTGTCAAGGACAAAGAACAAGTTTTCAGGAGAATGGATGATCTTCAAATCAACATCTGCTTTCACTAGCTGGACCTCCAATTAGATGTGAAACTAAGTATAATATTGGCTATATTTATTGAGTATTGACTATGTGCCAGATATTGTTTTATTCAATTTACATTTTGCATGTGTTATCTCAAAAATCCTGAGAATATTGCAGTACAATGAGTATTTCTACCCTTTGAACTATTCTATACACCGTAAGTTTTCAAATTTTAAAAAATTGCATTGAAGTTTTATCTTGAATAGTGTAACATGTGATACAAATATGAATTTTTAAACATCAAAAAGAATTTATATACCTGTAACAACTCTGATAAATGTTCCAGATCCTTCAACATCACCTCTCACTCTGTGTACTGTGAGGTTATATATTCCACCAGGAGTCAGATCTGTAACTGTGTACTCAGTCATTATTCCCCTAATGAGATACTCTTTTGCAAATGTTCTGTTTGATAGATAAATCTTGTAATGAGTGAAGTTGGTCTCTGTTGGATTCCACATTAAATTTGCAGAAGAAGTATTCACAGCTTTTAATGTTAAGCCGCACATCTTAGAAGGTTCTATTGAAAGGGCAAATTGCATGTAAATAAAGTTATACATATATATAAAATATAGCAAACATGAATAATGTAATTTAAACATTTATATAATAATCCTTAAATTTATTCATGTATAGTGCCCTACATAGCTCTGCAAATAGAGAAATAGAACATTATATGCATGGGTATATATACATACATGTTTTAATTTAAGTGATATATTAACATCCTCCCTCTTTCCCAAGTATCTTTCCTTAACCTATCCTAAATCACTTCCAACAGTCATTCCTTTAGACTCATGTGTCCTGGATATTGCTATATAATCACAGGTTTATTAGCTACCACCTAGCAATTAGTTAATGTTGAATGAAGATAAGACAGAAAAAAAAAAGAGAGAGGCAGTGAGGACCAGAAGAGAGGTAAGAGCATTTTCAAATGTGATCTAGTGACATCCAAGTTTGTACCAGTCCTATATCACTGCATTTCAATCCACTCATTGATGGAAGTAATGTTGTTTCTTACTACAACATTAGTAGTGGTAGTGTGGTCTCCACTAAGAGGGGATCCTACAGACCTCACAATCTTTCACAAGAATTATTGGTAACAAATACTACAACTCCGCATATCCCCAAAACATTATGAAACTCATTTACAAACATCAGGGGAAATAAAACAAATTAAATAGTTTCTATTATGAAACATATATGCTGTGTGTATACATATATCAATTATACACACATGTTCCATATATGTGACATACATGATGTACAGGCATATACACATGTTGACTTCAAATTTAAGAAATCACTCTATGTAGTTCCCAATACAACTATATATACAAAAAGATTTTAAATTCAAATATTTCTTGAGAGTTCTCAACATATTTTTTATCATTATTCTTTTATGATGAAGGAATGCTTTGTGTTTTAGAATAGCTGTATGTATGCTGAGACAAAATACATTCAATTTTTTTAAACTGTAAAGCAAAGATTTCATTCTTGATGTAGCCTTACTTGTGGTCACTTTTTTCATTACAGACACACTGTAATCTTTGCCTCGTACCGTCTTCACATGAAACATGTAGTCCACACCTGGAGTCAGGTTCTTTACTTTGACTTTGTTGCCATAAGCAACTACTTTAAATAGCTTTTCCTTTTTAGAGGTCATATGATAGGATACCTAGAAGAAGGAGAGATAAATTTATGTTTTCATGGTTTAAAAAGCACCAACCTTGTGCTGGCCACTAGCTACTGCAAGGTAGGGACCATAATCCTTCCTATTTTCACCAAGAAGCAATCTAAGGTTAAATGAGGCTGAATAACAGTATAGTTCACATAGTAATAAGCACAGAGGACTGAATTAGAAAAACCCACAGTCTCAAATTGCTTTTATTTTTCACTTATATATATTCTGATTCATATATGTATATGTATATAATATACATACTACATAATGATTGAGACTTTTCCTGTTGGTCACCTGAAAGCAAAAAATAATATGGAAAGCTGCATGCCCACTCTACCAACTCCATGTAAGCAAAAGACAGGAAGAGGAGAAAGCAGGACCTACTAAAGTCCTGAGTTTCTGGCCTAGTGGACAATAGTACAACTTTTCCTGGCCACTCAAGAGGTGGGAAGTAGGGCTTCTGCCCACACTCCACACTCTAGCTAAATGAGGAGGGCCACCATAAACTGAGGGTGCCTGTTAGAGAAAATAACACTTCTTAATATGTCATATACTTAGGCATCAGATTTTTGCTCATGTGCTGGTTGATCACAGAAAAAGAAAATTGGAAAGAGAAAACAGAGCACAAAAAAAAGATGTAGAACAATGATATACCCACCTTTTTAAAAATATATATTTCATTGATTATGCTATTACAATTGTCCCATTGTTTCTCCCCTTTATTCCCCTCTGCCCTGCACCCACATTCCCACCAGCATTCCCCCACCCTTAGTTCATGTCCATGGGTTGTACATATAAGTTCTTTGGCTTCTCTGTCTTCCATACTATTCTTAATCTCCCTCTGTCTATTTTGTACCTATGCTTTTGTGCCTATTTATGCTTCTTGTTCCCTGTACCTTTTCCACCATTCTCCCACCTGTGCCTGCCTGCTGATAACCCTCCATGTGATCTCCATTTCTGTGATTCTGTTCCTGTTCTAGTTGTTTGCTTAGTTTTTGTTTTGGTTTTTTTTAGGTTCAGTTGTTGATAGTTGTGAGTTTGTTGTCATTTTACTGTTCATAGTTTTGATCTCCTTCTTCTTAGCTAAATCCCTTTAACATTTCATATAAGAGTTTGCTGATGATGAACTCCTTTAACTTGATCTTATTTGGGAGGCACTTTAACTGCCCTTCCACTCTAAATAATAGCTTTGCTGAATAGAGTAATCCATCATGCCTTTCATGACTTCAAATATTTCTTTCCAGCCCCTTCTTGGCTGTAAGGTTTCTTTTGAGAAATCAGCTGATAGTCTTGTGGGAATTCCTTTGTAGGTAACTGCCTCCTTTTCTTTTGCTATTTTTAAGATTCTCTCTTTCTCTTTAATCTTGAGTAATGTAATTATGATTTGCCTTGGTGTGTGCTTCCTTGGGTCCAACTTCTTTGGGACTCTCTGAGCTTCCTGGACTTTCTGAGAGTCTATTTTCTTTGTCAGATTAGGGAAGTTCTCCTTTATTGTTTTTTCAAATAAGTTTTCAATTTCTTGCTCTTCCTCTTCTTATGGCTCCCCTGTGGTACAGATGTTGGAACATTAAAGTTGTCCCAAAGGTTCCTAAGCCTCTCCTCATTTTTTTTTGAATTCTTATGTCTTCATTCTGTTCAGGTTGAATGTTTATTTCTTCCTTCTGCTCCAAATTTTGATTTAAGTCCCAGGTTCCTTCCCTTCACTGTTGGTTCCATATACATTTTCCTTTACTTCACTTTGCATAGCCATCATTTTTTCCTCTATTTTGTGACAATACTCAACCATTTCTGTGAGCATCCTGATTACCAGTGTTTTGAACTCTACATCTGATAGGTTGTTTATCTCTTCATTGCTTAGTTGTATTTTTTCTGCAACTTTGATCCATTCTTTCATTTGGGCCATATATTTTTTGTCTCAGCACAGTTGTTACATTATAAGGGGAGGAGCCTTAGGTATTCATCAAGATGGGGCAACTCACTTGGCTGCACTGTTGGGGAGGGGTCTGAGAGGGAACAATGCCACTTGCTGAGCTCTGGGCTGATTTTACAGTCACTTTCCCCTCTACCCACAAGCAAGCTGAGCCCATCTGGTGCTGGTTCCAAGATGGGTGGGTTTTTATACATTCTAGGACCCTGTGGGTCTCTCCAATGAACTCACATTTGAGGCTGGGAGTTCCTTCAGTTGCCACAACCCCCACAGGTTTTCTCAGTCAGAGGCTTTGAGGCTTTATTTCCCCACACTGGAACCCCAGGTTGTGTGGTCTGTCTCACTCCCCAGTTTTTCCTCCTAGTTTATCCACACACGAATGTGGGAACCCCCAGTACTCTAGCTGCTGCCTTGCTGCTCACCCTCTCTGCTCTGGCTGCCCATCTCCAACCCTCCTACCAGTCCTAATGATGAATGTTTCTTCTTTAATTCCTTGGTGGTCAGACTTCCATATAGTTTGATTTTCTGGCAGTTCCAGTTCTGGTTATTTTTGTTTTTAAATTTGTCGTTGTCCTTTTCATTGTGCAAGGAGGCAAAGTGTGTCTACCTACACCTCCATCTTGACTGGAAGCACTATATACCCACCTTTAACCTGGCAAAGATGCCAGAGTCTCCCATGGTCATGTATGACCAGAGAGAAAGAGGTCAGGCTTGACCTATCTTCCCAGTACCCCACCCAGGAAGGCTGGCCTCTGTGCAGACAGACCTTAGCATCAAAAACAGCAGGATATAATACCAGAGAGAAGAGCTGAGAGGGGTTATAAAAAGTTGAGCCAGAGCTAGTCTAGCATGCCAAGAAATTGGGCAGTGGAGACAACCCCCAGGGACCTCCAGAGAACTTAGGCATGTGACCCAGGAGAGAGAACAGTTAAACTGATGTCATTGGGAGCTGGTCAGTGTCAGTCAGAGGAGTAGGCAAAACCAGCAAGTGAGAGAACAAAAACAGACACCTGCATTAAAGAAGATGCTTCACTTTTTTGATAAATGAATGGATGACAAGTGTCACACTCCATGCCAACACATCTTTTATCATAACCTGAGCCAATCAATTATTCATTAAAGCTTTTAGAATTGGCATTGCCTTTAGAAACTTCCAGTGGAGCAGTCTGATAGTTCCAATACCTTGGAGATGTTTTTATTCATTAAAGACTACTTATATAACAATCTTTATTCTTCTTCACTCTATATTTCATGTTGTAAAACAGAAAGGTATTTCAAAATAAAAGTAATCACATGAATTTTTAAAATTATTTTAACTTTCCTATGTTTTTAAAAACATTATGTGATAGAGTCAAATTTTCTAAACAGACATGTCCACCATCCTGTGGGAAGAGTGTTCTGTTACTGGAGGAAAATCATCATGAGGTCTAGACGCACATCATTGCTTATTGACTTATAAGGTGTCACTGACAATTCCTTTGCTTATCTGTCATATGAAAAGATAGGAGGAGTGAGTAGAATGCTAAGTGCTTCTGGCCTGAAAAAGGAAAGTAGGAGAAAGTACATTGTAATAGTAAAAATAATGTCTTAATAGAGTGGTAAATTCAGACATATGAAAGAGCCATATTAATGAAGGGATAAAGGAAAAAGGAACAAGGACTCATGGACATGGACAACAGTGTGGTGATTACAGAGGGAAGGAGGGTATAAGGGAAATAAGTGGTAATGGAAAAAGTACAATAAAAAAGAGTCATATTAAGACACCAATGTAGGGGTAGAAGAAAAAGGAAGTATAGTGATATAAAGATGAAAAATATTTAAATTTTTAAAAATGCAATTTGAAAAATAGAGGTTTGTTTCCCAGTGTGTGGACTACATATGCCTAATAGAAACCAATGGACAAGAACATAATTCATGCTTTACTTCTACTTTTAAGCACAATTTGAAGATGATTAATTTTAAATGATAAAGAAAATGATCCCAATTATGCAAGTACACTTTGCTAAGCAACCAGGATACTGTTGCTTAATTCATTAAAATTTAACAAATAATCTCATTGGTTTAGTAAGACTAAGATAACCATTAGTAATATAATATAGTTAATAAAAATAATCTGAATACTAAAGATTAACATGATCTCTTAAAATAAGTTTCACTTAATAATGGGTGCATAATTTACAGTCTCTGAAAGAAATGTTCATTTATATAGTAAAAAGTAAGCCTATGGTTATATATTTTATCCAGCAACAAATAATTTTATGGCCTCAGTTAACCGCATAAAAAGACATTCCTATGGGCATTTGGTTTGAAATAATGTGAATCAGGGCAGACAGACAGACAAAGATAAAAATATGGATCTCTTACAATTAATATTTAAAATGCTTAGATTTTTCACTGGAGAATACCTACAGTGAATATAGGAATGAATTGAATCATTCTTGAAGAATAGAATTTTTCATGAATCATTAATTATTAAAGATGTCCTTATTATTGAATGACATTTTCAAACAAGAGATAGAATTCTCACTCCTGACTTTGTGAACTTGCTAGTGTGGAAGATCCTCTCCTCTGTTCCATGAGTCTGAATCTTACCCATTACTAAAAGTTCATCTCAAGTTCCATCTTTTCCTGATAACTATGTCCAGTATTGATGTCTTCCTCAATCATTATCCCAATAATATGTGGGAACACTGGTATGTAAAACTTTATTCAGCAAATATTTATAAAGCATCTATTATAGGGCCTGCATTACTACATGTAAATAAGATGGCAAAGGTTTATTGAAGTAAATAAGATAGAAAAGGTCTGATTGCAGGAAATTACATTTCTAGTGGTGGCATTTAACAGTTAGCAACTTGATAAATGAATGAATGAGATAAATCAGCAACATTGTGAGTGAACAGAAAGAGCAGCTTTATTTAGATTTAGTCATCAGGGGAGGATATGAGGAGATGATATTTGAGCATTAAACTCAATGACAAGAAAGAGTTAACAAAACTGGAGGCAAGATATTCATGCAGAATGACTGTTAAGCACAAAAACTTTGCAACGGGGATTGCTTGAGTAA